CCATGGATCTGTTAGTCTGTTGTTCTGAATGTGCTCTTAGACATCTGCTATGTTCTTATGCTGCTGGTAGTCTGTGTAAAGGACATGGGTACGTATCGGGATTAACTTTTGTGTCAAATAAGATTTCTCCTAAAATTTCCTAAATTGTGTCTCTTATCTAATAGATTGTGAAAAAAATTGTTTGGAAACTTGTACAGATATCTTCATAATGATTTATTTATTCATGAATGATAACATACAATACTATATTTATCAGTAATTATGATCTTATTCACTGAGAAGGATGAACAGATTCTATCCCTTAGGGATGAATGTATTTTCCATTACCTGACAGCTCTTAAAATGGGATCAGCTGAATTCCAGGCTTTAAATTAGAAAAGAAACCTTCCTATTTACGGTTGGCATTTAATTTCATAGCTTTAAGCATTATCTTTCATTTTCTCAAATGCTTCTCAGTTGATGGCATAAAAAATATATCAAAAGAATTAATTTAGACAGTGAAAATTGCTATGGTCAGCTTTTGTGGCAAAAAATTGACTTGAATGCATATATATATATATATATATATATATATATATATATATGTTAGTTTTGTAAAGAGACCAAAAAGGAGGGACATTGGACACAACAAAACAATCCATATATCTTAAGGGAATAGGGGTCAACACCCAACAATGACCACCAAATATATATATATATATCTTAAGAGCCCTTTAGCTGTCTATGTCCATTATATGCCAGGATTATACTAGTGGATACCAAATGGTCAGCAAGTACTGTCATATATCATCCTGGCTGTTGACAATGTCCTAACACAGAGCCATATTTCAACTGACTAGCAAACATTAACATTTCCATGTACAAGTCACTGACAAGTTCAGATCAGCAGGTCCACCCAGATGACTAGACAAAGGCCACATCTTAAAAGAAGAGACATTAAGTTTAAGGACATGAAAGGCAGAACACTTGACTGGATGAGGAAACACTTCATACAATCATTTTAAAAAAGACATATTCCACAGCAGGAGTTGATTATTTTACCATTCCAAGCCATTTATCTTATAAAATAAAAACGTCCATACATGCCAGTATGAAGAGTGTGTGGGTTCACAGAGAGACAGAGAGACAGAGAGACAATATAGATATAAGTTTGAAGTTTTTTTCACTTTGTGTGGCAAATTCTAGTTAACGTTTTTCAAAAAAAAAAAAAAAAAAGTCATATGAATCTGCTCACAATATCATGAATCCCATGATCTAAATTACAATTATTAAGGTCAAAGTGTATACTTCATATATATCTACCTGATGTCATCAAAAAACAAGAAATGGTCAGGTAAAGACCTAGATAGTGGACCACATCAAAATAAACAACATTCATACTTAACAAATGGCAAACCGTTATCGTTTTCTTCATATAAAAATAAGCTAAAAATGCACCTGACCCATGCTGTGCAAAAAAGGGAAATAGGTATAAAAATTAAGCTGTGGGTATCTGACTGTAAAGAATCAAGTGATGAATCACGCCATGTTTACAAGGCTACATCAAACTGAAGTAGACCTAAAATTTTGGTTAAATCAATTTTCAAGCTTAATTTCTGTCTCCCAATTTTTATTTATGATCGATATAAAAACATGTTTAGCAAACAAAAGCAATTGGGTCTGTAGGCAGGGGGGTCCAAGGAAAATTCTTTTTTTTTTCTTTTTTTTTTCGGAAAAGGCCCACTCTTGTATCAAAAATCTAATCTAGATTCTATGCCATCTCATTCTCAAGTTAGGTCAACAAAAGGGATTACAAGGTTTACCTCTTCAAAAAAAAAAACACCTTGAAATTTTGACAACAGGCCTGCAGGTGATGCCATACAGCTATTTCTCATCTCAGCTGGTCCTGTTGTATACAACTGTATATTCTATAAAGATAGCTGCAGGCAAACTGGTGCTCAGATTCTATCATACATTACGAGGTGACAGCATCTTTCTGATATAAATACAAAAAAAATTGATTCTAGCTTTAAAATTCAAATTATGCCTGTATGCCAAGGATGCTCTTTGAGAACAAGATGGAGAACATTTTTAATGTTTATATCAGAGCACTTATCCCCTTCTGACTCTTGAGTGCAGCCAATGGATACTGTTGGTTCAGGCTGGTTTACATACTTCTGAAGTTGCCAATTCTTAAGCACATGGTCCATTAACTCAAGATATCAACATTTTTCTACAACAATTATTCTCCCTGGTCTATGTTATTTCCAACTCTAAAATTTTGTCATCAAAACAGATCAAAATATGATCAAGCATACGGGCCAAAACCAATAGATTATACAAACCAGCAGTTTTTCCTATAATCTTGCAGACATTTATCATTCTAAGGTTAGGTCTAATGTGTCAATTATACATGCTATTCCAATGTCAAATCAACAATGGCTGCCTAGTGTGAGGACCACACTAGGAAATTTATCATCCATTAAAAAACTATTAACTGTTTTAGAAGGCAGTTTTACACAATAACGAAAACAGAATTCTAAAAAAAAAAGCAAATCGAAAGCGAGATAATATCAATAAGCAGAATAAATTGTTTTGCCAAGTTAGTGATGAGTATACCATAAAAGGTGCCCTATGGATTGCAGCAGACCATCAGCTTCAGACTTGAAGTACACCTGAGCAGTTATCATATACATCTTGCAAGCAAAGAAATTTCAATCTTGTCAAGATAAGATTGTGATTTCCATCTCACCTAGGCAGATTTATAATCTGCCTAGATTTCAAACTTGTCTGCTACATATATATTACAGTGCTTATCAGATTTGCATCTTTGTAGATCCATACTAAAGATCGTTGTTACATCATTTTGATATTCTATGAATATTTTACCCATGACATAAAACTTCATACATTATAAACAGTGCTGACTCAGGTTTGTTGTTTTGTTTTCATTCATGGACAAGCAGCATATTGTCTGGTTTCTTTCTAAATCATCAATTCCAAAGGATGTACATATAGATGTAAGTTTACAAACTGACTGTCCTATCCTTTTAACTTCTTCCTATGCTGTAGACAGTTTCAAACAAGTTCATAATACAGCACAAATAATATGGTACTTTTAATACCAGTATAAAGAAAATTATTAACCCACAGTCTTTAGAAACATTACTTATCCACATCTCAACATAAATGTGTATCTACCAACTCACTTGCCAATATTGGCTGTTAATGCAACTAATTGTTAGTATCAAAATCATTAGATTGTGAAAGCAGAGTTCCCATTAACAGCCCCTCGAACACGCATCTTTTGTTTTCAGGGCGGCTTAAAGATCTGTGCAAACAGCGCGTTTACCTGAGACAATGCGTGTCACATAGAACAAGGAGGAAAATTGCAACCTTAATATCGCACGCAGTGATCAATATTTCTGAGGACAAAAATCAATAGTGAGAATATTATCACCTTTACATAAGATTTCTCATTCCATATCGCAGGTCTGGAAATTAACTTTTACTCTGTAAGACTGTTTGACATCAAAAGAAAAATTTTAAATTTTTTTATGACTCCACCCCAGTAGCTACACAAAATGGCTGATTTCATGAAATATGAAAATTGTTTGCATTCACTACATGTCTGGAAGATTTAACATCTAAATAAAACAAGAACATCACAGTAGCTATTAAATATTATTTATATATATTTCTCTAAGGAAATAAGTAAAATTCAAAAAAGACTGTTAATGTTTTGCTTTATATTTTCACAAAGAAGACTAATAATTTTTCATATTCTCTATTCTCTAGCCTCTATATGCCCCATCATTTTGTAATTTCTAGATAATGGCCATGTTCTCAGCATAAACCAGCAGAACAGTATATGCTATGAATGCACAATGTGAATATAGAGGCCTGACAAGACAGAGAATATGATGATACCAATTCTTGATTTCCATGAAGATGTGCCAAGTGAGACAGCATTATTTTATTATAAATTTCATTCCGCATCATTTGTTTTTGTACACATCTAACAAAGCAACAGGGGAGGGGGTTCTTACACTTGGGCAAAGAGCCAGACAAGCAGAGTTACGATGATCTTGCTTCTGGTTTCAAGCCCTTCCATGACTGAGGGGAAAAAAACTTATTTTTTATTACAATCCATGCAATAGCAGACTTTACCTGTTTAGAAAGCATGTTCACTTACTGCTGCCATGCTGACTCAAAGATTGGCTTCACTTTTAGCAGGCTTCATTGTGAAAAGAGCTTCGCCCCCCCCCCCCCTTCTTTTTCAATCACTCCCCATTCATATAGCAACAACATGGAAGACCTTAGTGCAATTCAAACTCTGCTTATCACTATGTATATATGCCAAATGCTTTAAAAACCACAATTATTTTACAAAACTAAAGCACGAAGCCAATGAAGACAAAATAACAAACACTGTAATTATTTACTAACATCTCTGATTTTAAACAGTTGTTGGCTGTTACACCTTCATAAAGTTAAAAGGCAGAATAAAGCCTGCCAGCAAAACCAGTTGAAGATAATAAAGTGAGGTTATGCTCAGCTGCACCTAGACAATATAATACTCTCATAAGAGACTTGATGGACCAGTCTTTACAAATATCTTATGTAATGTTTCTATACAGGTGTGTCTGGGGGTTAGACAGGCTAACCTGAATTTCTGGACAAATATTTAATTATGCTTTTCTGTCAATTAGTCAAATTTAATTATAGTGCCATTGGTAAATTGTTTGAAACACAACCCTGACATCTGATACTGAAGAGGTTCACCCTGTTGACCAGGAGCAGTATGTAATGTGGTTATTTTCATTGAATTAACACTCTCTATGTCATCAATCAGTGGTACTCAAACACTGGAAAACAAAATTAACCTAATATGACTTACCATAATTAAAGACTGGGTCTGTAAACAATATAATATCTACATGTTCAATATCATCATTCATATATAACATACATTAGCAATTGACTAAATAAAAATGATAAATGAACTGAGAAAAGGATATCTCCATGTCAGAAGCTTCAGACACCAAGTCCTAGGCCACGTTGTCTGTTTTAAACAGTATAGAGTTGTTGGTATAAATCCAGGATACGGCAACTCTTCTTCTTCTTCCTCCGATGAATCCTCGGCATCTTCAATCACGCATTTGACAATGTTTTTTTCCTTCTCAGAACTCTGCTCGTCCAAGTTGTTCTGAGAGGAGGTCGACCAAGAACCGGGCTCTTCCTTCGTCGGCGCCACGGTATATTTTGTGTCTCCATTAGAAGTTGATGGTGTATTCGTTGTAGACATTGTGGATCTCTTTCTTTTTGTTGAAAAATGATTACTCAGATTAAAAACACACCGCCACCTTTATCAATAAACCAACTGCACAGCCACCACTCAGTTTGCCTGCTATTAAGCCCAATAGTTGGTTTTGCCATTATTACATACCGAACAAAATTGAGTGCACGATGCTGCTTCTTGCGAGGAAATCACCATCTTCCAGACACCGCCGTCCTTGTTTTGACTTTTCGCATCAATCATACTTTATCTCAGTAATTAAGAAAATGTATGTGTGGTTTTGATACGCACTCCTCCGTTCTGCATGACTTCCTGGACGAGATGAGTAAACTGATATTCCAGTCAATGGTGTGAATTTACAACGAAACTCGAGAAGCCTCTTTGATATTCGCAATATTCAACTTTTTTCACCGTCGTTTACATTTTTCAGCTCATTACAATCGAATTATCAAAAACAATCCTATCGGATAATGACTTGTGCCATTTTCACTTATGAAATTTATCTATTCGCACAGAGCGCAGCGTTTTTGCTTATTTGTCTTGCCTTATTCAGAACTGCGTACGTCGTACCTCTTCCACTCCGGCTTACCGACTGGCCAGCAAAGTGCCGGTCACATGACTTGTACATTTCCATCCAGATGGCGCTACCAGACGAGGGTTCGTGATGCGGGCAATTATGAATGTGGTAATATTAGTGAACATAATACCTGGATACGACGCAGGTGATTATCGCCATTGTGACAGACACGCTCTTATGCAACAGACTGCTAACAAAGGACTTTACCTTGTCGCTTTGAATAGACTTTCAGAAATTCATATTTCTGTGCCAAACAAATATGTTGAGGAAGAGAGGGGGAGGCTTGGTCTGGCGTAAATGCTTACATGAAGGCTCAGTTGGAATAATCATTTATTTTATTTCAGTAATTATCTAAATACATTAAACCTTGGACATAATAACGTTATTATGTCCAAGATTAAACTGAGTATGGCAATTTAACCTGTGGAACCTAAGGTGAGCAGCAGAAAGGGACTCTAGTCTGTTTTGCAAACTCAACATTTTTTAAAACTATTGGCAAGACTATTCCCGCTCTCTCTCCATACACATACATCCACACAACTGTGTTATATACAATGCAACCAAGAGAATTAGTAACAGACTAGCTTACTTGTTCCTTAATCCCATCATTATAACTCAATAGCCTACTTTTACAGGTGTTTGGGAATGTATTATAGAGGTGTGGCGATAATCCATATAATTATCTGTGCACAAATTTTACAGACTTAACTGAATGTTTATTTTCTCTCTGAAATAACTGGGGTTTAGTTTTACTTTTCACTTACAGAATTCCCAGAATAAAAAATCCCAAAGTGAAGTAATTTGGCAAATACTACTTGTGCTGATGCAAAAAAGTATGAAAAGAACAGCTGGGGAAACCTGAACACCATCAACAGAAATATCTTGGATGTCAAATCTCAACTTGTTTTATTTCAAGCTGTACATTTTTTGTTGACTGAAATAATAAATAACATGATTTTATTCTTTTATTTAAACTTTTTTCAAAGGCACACTACAAAATAAGGAAAATAGATATCCCCACACCATGCATTTTTTTAAGGTTTGCTCGTCTCATATGACACAACAGAGTACCAATACCTCATTTTTGGCTTATTTTAAATGTTTTCCTTTTTGAAAGGAAATGAAAGTTATAATTTCATAACAATCAAGAATGTATTTTTATGTTATAATAATATTTATTATTTTATAAAATTTTTTGTATTTACAATAATTTTTGTTAAAGCAATTGCAATTCAAAATATTCGTGATTAAATATCCTAAAAAGTGTGAATTACTCTTAATTCTTAAATAATACATAACTTTACAGTCTGCACTATTATAAACAAGGAAAAAATTAAAAGGAATAAAAATTATCAGCAGCAACATCCTTACATTTGTTTACATATATTTTGCATTGAAGCTTAACATGTGACAAATATTATTTCAAATCATCTGGAAGCCCAAAATCTTAGTAATAAAAAATCGATATAGCTGCTAGCTTTAACAAACGTGCAGCTGTAAATCCAATAGCAAGTTTTGAACTTTTTTGGGAATGACCTGTTACCAAACAGACGTTTCGGAAATGGTGCAAGGCTGTGGAAAAAGTTTAAAAAAACATTGCAAAACCAGAGCTATGGTTCTGTGTCCAATATTCGGTCCCCACCACATGTAAGACTTTGTTCCTCCATCTCCCACTAATCTCACTTTTTTTTTTTTTTAGGATTCGATAATGAACTTGGTGATGTAACCTTGTTTATTAATACTTGATAAGCTGTCTTAAATTACAGAAACAAGAATGCATATATTAAAATCAGCTCTGAATTCATTAAAATATCTATTAACAGTTTTGTTGCACAGCAACTGCATATAAATATATATTGATGTATGTTTTTCATACACATTTCACAAACTTTCTGTACACATCTGCAGGTTAGAGTATATGCCTGTAAATCAAGAAGGTTCAACTCTCCTAAAGAGGCTCCAAGAGCAGTTTTTCCAACTCTGACACAGTATTCACAGGAAGCTTGCAACTGTAGTCTCTACAGACATAAGCTGTGGCTTTCCCATCCTTCTTCTCATAGGACTTCAGCATTCCATGTCTATGAGCCAAAAGGCTGTCTTGATCTCCATCCCATAATATCAGTATCTTATTGGGGATAAACTGGCTGTGAACACAACGGAGGAGTTGTTGGGAATCTTCTGCTCCTTTCTCACCAACGATGATAATCTGAAATGACATATTACTTGCATTATTCACATGTTATGATTCAGGAAAAAGAACGACTAAAAGGAATCATTCTAACAGTTTTCACTAGTCCAATCAAATTTATTATCAAGAAATGCCAGTATCTATTTCATGCATTTACCACCCTTATTAAAAAAAACTGTCTATGACAAGATCAAGTTTAAAAAGTTTATTGAAATCTGTTGTATAACAAGTTTCATTGTCACTGTTGGCACTGGAGTCACCATTGTCATTGTATTAACGACCTGTAAACCTAACATGACCCCAGTAAAACATGCAGCACAACACTTTTTTTTTCTTTTTGCATTGCACCAAGGTGCTCAAATAACTCTGCCTCTTTAATAGAAAGAAAACATTTTGTGTGTTTCCATTTTAAGGCAAATTCGATCAGTGATCTCTTTACTATTAGTTTTTTTTTAAATAATTTATGTTTTAGGGTAATGCCACTTAAAAGAAATGCAAGAATCCAACAGATGCTTTATTTTCCATGCTAAAATCTTAGCACTTCAGTTTGCAGAGGCTGAGTAATTCATGCATCTTATCTCCATATCTGATGTTTACTACACAGCTCAAGGAGATCATCCTGAAGATTCGACATATAACCACCAGTGAGAACCTGGCTTCTCTGAATATTGAATGTCAGCACAGATAATCCTTCACCAATCTTCTTTAAGATTCAAGCCTATAAAGCTGATCACTGGGAATTAGGAGGCAAAAAGCTGTCTAAGACAATAGATAAGGAAGTCTTCTAGTACTTCTTTGCAATTTTTGCATTTAACTCTTTGCAATGTGTTTGCTTTTAAGCTACTTATAAATTATCACACATTCTTTATCATATTGACTTTACAGGTAGTTAAACTTCTCAAAATAAGTGATATATCATGCTATATGGATATCTGGTGAATACATTGCATGTTTGAGCTATTCTATTGAAAATGGAGTGGTGCAGCATCAATGGTTCTGTTATTAACCAAAACTACTTGATTTAATGCAATGTTAACACATGGCGGAATAAGAAAGCACAGATAAAACTAATCAATGCAGGCTGATGTTTTGATAAAATTGACTCGATGTGGATGCCAGAAAGCCAGGTATTTGTATTTTCTCAGACTCTGAGGGTATTCTGAACAGATTGCACACCAATAACAAAAAATCTGGTACAGCACACTTTCAAATCTTTGCATCTTCTGCCCAAACAAAATTGAATAACAAAAAACATTTTTTTAGTGAAACTGTTGACAAAATTTAAATTCTTCATCATTTTAAGCCTAAGCATGTTTCAAGGCATGTACATAACAGGTATTGATTTCTTGCTTTTTGACTAGAAGCACCATCATGGTAATAACAATGTCTAGGCCAAGACCTGTCCTAGGGAGAATGGTACTCACAAAGATGTCCACTTGACCATTTCCCAGAAAATCCCACACATTAGCTTCCGCAGAGACATCTTGAATAGTCCAGAAATCAATGGAACAACAAGAGTGCCTAATCATTGCAGATACAGTTTATACAGGTCACCTCTCAAGATAGATGACACCTAAAATATCCTTGCCAACAATGGTCAAAACAACAACAACAACAAAAAAAAAAAAACAGTAACTAGCATGATTTGTCCTGCCATACACCAGGAAATCGATGTATAATAAGAATTCCTGGATTCATTACCAGAATGTTGACAGGCTTATTTTCTGTTACAAAGCTGACCTCTGTAATCAACTCGATACTTTCAAATTTTCAGTTTATAACAGACTTATATAAAAACATTTTTTGATGATAACAACAAAAAAAAAAAAAAAAAAAAAAAAAAAAAAAAAAAATTACTAACATAATTTGGCTCATGAAACACCACAGAAACAATGTATACTAAGAATTCCTGGATTCACAATCAGAATGTCTGGGGTTCTTCTCTGCTATATAACTGACCTAGATGTACTTCATCAGTCAAGGCCAATATATTTCATTCAACAAACTGACAAATATGTGATAGATACAATACGAGTCACCGAGCTGTACGTGAAATATTACAAGTGTATTGGCGAGCCGCAGGCGACGAGTTGTATCTGGCTTAAACCACGGCCTCTGACTGGCTACTACACTGCCCTTGCGATATTTTACTCATATATGTTAGGGGCCCTTGTGGTCACTTAGTCATGTGTTAGATGATGGAGGACAAGGTTGAACACGCCTTTACAGCCCCCTCAACCTAAGTCGTGCAGCCACTTCGTGCAGCAGCAGCAGCACCAAAGCCACTCCCACCACCAACAGCAGTTTAGATACTGAGAAGTCCCCCCCCCCG